TTCGTTTATGTTAGGGTTAGCGTTAGGGTCAAAAATTGGTAAAGTATACAATAAAATTTCCCAAGAGAAAACTTTTGTTGGCATATTAAAGTTGGGTTCTTATAAAAATTGTTGAAAATATGTGAAAATACACGATTTCTGAGAAATGTTGTCTGTGCGTGTTTGCGTTAAACTTTAATCACGTAATAGTAACTTTTTGCTGGCAAGTTCTGCGTATTCTATTAATGCAAATTTTACAATCATAGAATTTGTTCAAAAAATTAATAAATCGCATAGATCTTTTAATCCAAACAAGCGGTCGATAACTATTGGTAAGAAAATTAAAAAAAAAAAATTATAAACGATTCACATAATCATTACTTATCTTCATTATTGATAGTACCCATGCCAGTTTTGACAGTCGAAAGTTCTTTGTTGCCGCCTTCACCGTCTCCACCTCAACAACACGTGAAAAACACTTTTCCCCCATTTAATGCTAATGCTCTTACGCCAGCTCAACAAGATTCACAAAATACTTCCGTTGCATGCCTCAATCCTGAGTTCCAATCACCATTTAATGCCCTTACGTCATCTCAAGCATCGTGTCCTTTCTCCGAAAACTCCTATTGTAATCTTCCACTATTTAATCCATTTACGTCATCTCAAACATTGAGTACTTTCTCTGGAAACCCTCATTATTGTAATCCTCCAAGTATTTCACCTTGTATGTTTGATCCTTCCTTTGGTGCAGCCAATGATACTATTCAGAATACTTCATACTATCCCATGATGTCATCTGAACACATGTTCGATATGTCCACCAATAATAATGCGCACTACAATCCAACTATGACTATCGACAATAACGGTAGCGCCAACTATGACTATCGGCAATAGACCTGAGTGCAAATATATAAGGTACGATAGGTGCGTTTGATTTTGGCCGTTGGTTTGATATATTAAAAACCTTACTTCTATTTAATGAAATTAATTTATTAAATTTCAGAATAGAAAAGTCAGAAACGCGTTATAAAAGATTTTTATATATATTATATGTGATTGTTCATCAAAATTATAAGACAAATAACTTTGCTACGTCAACAATTCTCAAATGATTCACCTCCTTCGTTGGTATACTCCTAATAATGATTACTACCCTATGCATCAATGGATTTTTGAACAAAATTTAGAACTAAAAAAAAAAATTAGCTGAAATAATATTTTAGAAACAACAAATAAGTACCTGAACGATCTGTATGCACATCTTTATTTTTTAAATCTTAATTGGTTTTATACACATGTAACATCTTAGCGGAATCGCCATTTTATTAGCGTGCAATAGATAAGTACCAATTTATAGCTTTAGCTTTAAGTCGAAACGGATATCCAAGTTTAAATATTTTTAAATTGTTTACTTGAGAATGGAATCTGACACAGATTCAAAAATTCCTTTCTTGTTCGCATATTCATTATTTCACGAGCATGTATTTTTTTATCCTGAATAATAAATAATTAAATTTAAAATTTTTAATATCACTTAAAACAATGACAATGATCATGCCCAATACTTAAAACGTTTGTTATTAATGGTAAGTTTATTTATTTTGTTGAATATTGATTATGCAATGCTTTTAGTTAATTTTATGCCTCATTAAGAATGCCCAGATACATGTTCACGATTCGAAAAATGTAGAGATCGGGAATTTTGCCCGTAAATTCCTGAGAAAAGTATATAAAGTACATTTTTAATTATTAATCCGATTTTAAGGTTAGGTTTGCAAAAAAAAAATGCGATAAAGCAAAAATTTAACATTATACGTGTTAAATGGAAATGGATTCTAATTGTCCGAAGAACACTATAGACGGCGCAATAGCAGATCTGATGTCTGTGTGTTGAACAAATTTTGAAATTTTGATTGGTTAAACATGTAGATACAAATGCGCTTTCTTCGGGCGTCAATAGATTTATTTTCTACTAAATTAGTATTTTAAGATAAGAATTTTGTTTATATAAACCTGCACCTAACTTTTATACCTTAAAGACTTCCTTATGTACTCAGATGTTTAAAAAAAAATCGAACATCCTATATGTAAGATTTCTGAAAATCAGATATACAATCCACGATAATGTATAATGTATTTAGAGTCATGTTTATAATTAAATTCAGTATATTAAAACTATTCAATAAAAAGGTAAAGGAAATCATGAACATTTATATATTTTCTTGGACTACGGAAAAGGCCGACATCTAATGTCGGACGTTTACCGAATATTTATATATTAGGCTCAAAGAGACTTAGTAAATTATACAGCTTACTCTTTTTGTGAGTGCTTATTCGTAAGTGCTTATTCGTATATAATGAGATATGA